CCCCAGGGCAGAGGCGTGGGAGCTCGAAGGCCGCGCCTGGTGGGCACCACGGAGGCCTCCCCTCGAGTGGACAAGGGTCGGGTCAGCAGCACCTGGGGGCCAGGGAACACCTGCTCTCCCAGCACGTCCATGACCCGCCCGCCCGGCCCACACCAGCTGCCCTTGCCCCCTGTGAGGCCGCCCTGGGAGCGAGGGGAGAGGGCAGCGCAGGGGCCAGTGGGCACAGTGCCACCCCAGCTCCCGAGGCTGCTTCCTCTCCGAGAGGAGGTCCCTGCACAGCCTGGATCTCCCTGCCCGTCCTCTGTCCCCGTCGAACACGCCTCCACATGGCAAGTGGCGGACGACTGACAGAAAGGGAGAGGAGGAGCCTGGAGGGAGTGAGGGAAGGAGGCAGAAAAGAGAGAAGCCGAGGAGGAGGGGAAGAAAGGGAGGCCCGGCCAGCATCGACCGGTTCGATTCCCGCTCAGGGCACAGGCCTGGGTGGCGGGCTCCATCCCCAGTGCGGGGCGTGCAACAGGCAGCTGATCCATGATTCTCCCTCATCATTGATGTTTCTCTCCCTCTCCCTTCCTCTCTGCAATCAATACAAACACATTTTTAAAAAAGAGCGGGGGGGAAGGGAAGGAGGGAAAGGTGGGGAGAGGGGAGGTGGACGAGCCACAGGGACAGAGTGAAGACGGCGACACAGATGGTGGAGAAAGTAGCCGGGAGGGGGAGGAGGCGGGTGCGGAGCAGGCCCAGAGCCCAGGACCCGTGAGGCCAGGCCAGGCCCCTCGGAGGGAACTGGGGCTCCCTCGGGCCGGCAGTGCCCAGGAGCTGTCACTCTTTGGGGCCGCCCTCCTGCCACCCTGAAGCCGGGCAGGGGCCTCGGGAGGCCATGCTCGGGCAAGGCCACACCCACTGGGGCCGTGTGGGGCAGTGGCTGAGGCTCAGGGGCCACTTCTCCCCACGTTCAGGGGACCTGCCTGTCAGGGGAGCGGGGCCCCCAGTCTCCTTAGGCTCCAGCCAAGCTAGAGCCTCCCAATCCCTCCCCTGGGACCCTCTGGGGCCTGCGTTCCAGAAGCAGATCAACACCCCTGAAGCCAGGCTGTCCCGGCTCCGCACGCCGCCAGCTACTCCCTGACCCTCCCCAAACCAGCCTCGCAGCTCCCGCTGAACCAGCCTGGGAGGGGCCTGCGGGCACCTGAGGAGGCAGGCGAGAGCCCTGCCCTTGTTTCCTAGGAAACAGACGCTCTCTCGGTCCGGGCTCTGAGGCAGAGGCTGCCTTCTCTCTGCCAGCCCTGTCCTGCTCTCCCTCTGGGGCACCTGGCTGGGTCTCCCTGCCCCTCCCTCTCACTCCAAGTTCCCCATCGAACATGCCTCCACATGGCAAGTGGTGGCCGAGCTGTGCCCTCCTCCATAGAGATAAGGCCCCAGGAGGGAGGGAGTGCCAGGCGTCAGGGGCGGGCAGAGAGGAGGCAGAGCCTCTGAGAACAGACGGGGCAGCGGGCCCCAACCTGGTCACAGCAGCCCATGCGGAGCTGCCCTGGGGCTCTCGCTCCCGGCCTCCTACACTCTCTTGGGACACCTGCTCCTGACCCCACGGAGGACCGTCCCCACCCAGCCCCCAGGCTCCGCCAGGCCAGGTGGGCACCGCCTGGGGAGGTGGCTCCGGCAGCATGCAGCCCGGAGGTGGAGCTGATGAGAGGTGAGCGTATGACGCGGCCCGAGGGCAGCTGAGATGTGGGCGGTGTGAGGGGACAGGGGAGGCATTACCCCATGAAGCTCCTACAACAGGGAGTCCAGCAACAAGGAGACAAAGAGAAGAGAGTCAGTGAGGAGGCCTGGCTGGGCGAGAGGAGGCCCCGCCCTCCGCGCCTGCGGGTCGTCCTGTCTCTGCCTCTCCTGCCACCACTCGCCCTGGGACCCTAGCTCCGCCCAGCCCCACACCTGCCCCAGCCCCAGGCCCAGACACGCAGGCTGAGCATCACTTGCTGGGGAACCAGAGAAAATGGCCGGGACCCCAGGACGGCGCCCACCAGCACCCCAGCTCCGCCCATGGGAGCCACCGAGGGCAGGGGGGCTGCCCAGAGGCCGAGAGCAAACCAGCCCGAGGCTGCCCCCAACTTTAGAACCAGGGCTGGTCGGGACGCACCGGCTAGAGGTCCTCCCACCCGGCCCAGGCCAAGCAGAAGGACGGAGCTACAGGCAGCCTGGAGGCCAGTGGTCCCCGTACACCCCACCGCGCATCTGGGGGCTGCAGACGTGGGTACTTACGAGAAGGCAAACGCCACCAGGGCCCCACTGACCACAATGAAGTCCAGAATGTTCCACAGGTCCCGGAAGTAGGCCCCCGGGTGCAGCAGCAGTCCCAGGTCAATCATCTTCAGGGAGAAGTGCAGTTTAGGCCAGTTACTTCAGGGAAAGGGCGGGCAGACCCAGAGCCGCGGGGTGGGGGAGGGGGCCCAGGTCACGTCCTCCTGCCCGATATCCGGAAAGCGGGGACCCTGGTCAGGCATGTGGGGCGCTCTCCCCGCTGACTGACGCTGCGGTGAGTCCGTAGTGAGCGACCCTCCCGAGTCCCCGTGTGTGTGGGGGGGGCATGTGAGAGCCCCGAGGGAGGCTGGGTCACTCACCTTTATCACCATCTCGAAGGTGAAGACGCCCGTGAAGATGTAGTCCATGTACTTCAGGACCTGCAACCCGGGGAATGCTCTCAGAAGGCCAGCCCGCCGCTGGGTGCTTGGGCTCCAGGTCCCCCCGACCTCGGGGCGGACAACCCGTCAGCCAGGGCCCATCTGCCCTCTTCCTGCTGCTCCTGGCAGGCGCGGAGCTGGGCCCTGGCCGCCCCTGCACCCCACAGCGCTCACGTTGTTCCGGGGCGAGTCTGCGCGCACGGGGTCCTCGGCGGCCAGGGCGATGCTGCTCAGTGCGATGACCACGAGGATGACCATCTCGAAGTACCGCATGGTCACAATGTAGTGGCAGAGGCGGCGGAGCCTGGGGGCAAAGTGGGGCTCAGCCGGGGTCCCTCCCTGCCGCCCGCTTGGTCTCTCCCGCAGGAAGCTGGGCTCTGAGCTGGTGGGCGGTGCTGAGGCCCAGAGGGCGCCCTGGGAAGGGGCGGCTGCAGGGATGCAGCGGGCTGAGCGCTGCTGTTCCAATGGGGGGTCACTGAACACAGGGCACAGGCTGGGCAGGATGACGCCGGAGAGTCCCCAGAGGCGGGGAGACCCCTCTGCGGGAACAGTGAGGCTGACCCAGTGACCAGGAGGAGGACCCGGGCCGCCGTGTCACCTGCCGGGCACACCTTGCACCTAGCGGTCATGTGCGTGTGGGTCAGGGGCCGTGGGCGAGCGGCATGGCACAGGCGGGCGGGGGGCACTCACAGGTTGGTGGGGCTGAGACAGAACATGGAGCTGTAGGGGACGACGGGCCGGGGGCCGCTCCGCATCACGCCATCGGCCTCCCCCTCCTTCCCCTCCGCCTGGCTCTCCAGGTCCACGTTGCCACCTGCAAGGGAGGGGCCGCCCGGTGAGGGGGTGCCGCACAGGTCTCACAGGCGACAGGTGCTGTCCGGGCTCCCTCACGGGAAAGGCGTGTGGCTGGGAGCCCCGCTCCCTCAGCCCCG